GTTAACCTTAGTGTTTATTTCTATAGAACCACATAAAGAATAACCGAGTTACATGACTGTCTTTTGACATAGCTACTGACCTCGGGTGCGTCTATTCGGGTGACGAAACGCAGCACAGCATTAAGAAATATCGAATCATCACAGTTATTCCGAGCTGGAAAACGAATAGACCAACAATTGGAACATTAATGGAGAAGCTGTTCAAGCAGTACTAACAGTTATTCGAGCTGCGCAAAACGAATAGATCAACAGTTCTTATAGTATATTTAAATTTATAAGGGCTGTCAAAATCAACGAGGAAAAGAATACTATTCAAGTAGCCATTTTCTACACAATGTATTTTTTGTAAGCGATCAGAAAGAAGCTCGTTAAATATCCGGCATCCTGCCGTGACCGAAAATAATTGAGATTAGGCTGCACGATAAGCAATATTACAACAGTACTTAATGCCGGTTTGTGAGTGATTACCAATATTTCGCAAATTTCGGCATTTTGCACGAAATACCGGCTGTCATGTAGGTCAATGTATGCATACGGCAGAGAATTGGGCTGAGTGAGGGCCAGCCAAATAACAAGATAGTAATAAATGTAGATTATAAAATTCTGCGATGCATAGCCTTTAGATAAAAAGCTAATGGATTGGTGTGGGGAGGGGAGGGTAGGAAGAAGGCAGATGACTGACCTAAAATCCCGAAACTTCTGATTTGAAAGGGCCTTGATGGGGCTAGTGTAGATGGCGCGAGAGCCGCGGCGCTTGCAGAGAGCACAGGCATACTCAGCCACTACCGTCTTACCAGCTGACGTGTGCGCTGCCACCAAGACGGACTCGTTCCGTTCCAAGCATAAAATCGCTTGCTTCTGAAAAGTGTCCAGTTCGAAGGGCCAATCGAAAGCTGGATCTGGAATCAACTCCTTTAATGGTGGCAACTTTTCGGAAGTAGCTCCCTGGAAATGGATACAAACGGCAATAAGGTACAGCTGGAATGAGCATAGTCGGTTTGCCCGTTACAAAATGTTCACTGTTGGAAAGTCGGGTTACTGAAAATGTGAAAGTATTTCTTCATTTTTCAATTTGATTTAGCTTTTTTAGCTTACTTAGTTCCTAATATTTAAGTAGTTGCATACTCTAATTATGGCACTCTTTTTATTGACAATCATTACATTGGACTGGATCCGATAAAGCAAAGGGAGACCGGAATGGTCAATTCTTGCTTGTTAGCACATACAGTAGATTACATATCTGATGAAAGGTTGGATATTAGGGGCTTTAACACACAGTTGAGGTTGTTTATTTAGTTTAGTGAGTTGACTTGAGGTGCAAAATGATGTCCAGTAGAATTGAATTCTGTTCAGATCAGTAAACTGGGAGAAAATAGAGGCGAAAGTGGGCGAAATCCAGCGTTTTTTGATATCCGAGGAATTTTCTACGTTAGTAAACGCTGCGGAAAAGAACTTCTTGTGTATGCATGTGGCACTATAAAAAGAACATTTATGAAGAGCAGGAACTTTTTTAATTTTATCTGTTCAAAAAACGAAAAATGTTATCTTGCGTCCACGAAATTGAGGTTAGTGTAATTATGAGATAGCGCATTATTTTTGTGAAAAGAAGAGCGAAATTAGTTTTAAAAATTCTATTTTGCAAATATACCAAGTTTTGTGCCATAAAATTGAGTAATGAAATTTAAGGCTGTTATGTGCTATAACCCAATTAAAAATGCATATCGTCTATTAGAAAGATTGCAGGCAAGGAATGCGTATGAGGACTTTATGAGTATACAGTAACTAAATCGATTGTACAATCAACATAAAGTTGAAGACAGTTAACATAACACACATTTGAGTGAGTTGTCGCGGGACATTGCGAAATAGTTCTTTCAAAAATCGCAGTTGTTATTATTGCCACACTGCTCTGCATTTGTTATTTTATAACTTAGCCTAAAGGCAACAAAATATTCTGAAACTGTTCCGATTTAAATAGAAAAGTTAGCTCATTCATTTATAACAGAAGATGTGTCCATAATTCTTAGGGAAATCAATAAACTGGCCAAAATTTCTCATTCCGATCTTAACTTCATCTTCAAAAAAATGAAGTACGCAGACATCTGACACCAAAATATGTAACCAAAGCTGTTTTTCAAGAAACAACTTGCTATAGAAATTTTTTTAAATCAATCTTAGGCATATTCTTTCGCGGCTTTTGATGTGAGCCTTCATTTTTCTCAGCAATGAGTTGATATGTTTGGGTGGTTCTGAAACCACGACACACACAGACAGCTGCATAAGAAAAAAAATATTTAAAAGCTCGTTATTTAGGTAAATGTCTCTAAGATATATCTTATTTTGAAGGTTTTGGTAAGCATGTAGAATATAATCTTTATTTATGGTCAATCGACTGAAGCCAGTGAAAATCGTTAAGCCTTCATTAGCATTTCAATAAAGATCTGAACCTTTTCGTAATCGAAATCTCAAAATAATTACAAAAAATGTGGCGGAAGGCAATTA